TTGGCGCCAAACTCCGCCTATATGGCGCACGACACGCCCATCACAAACACTCAGCTTTCCCACTTTTAATTTTTTCCCCTTTTCCCAGTCTCCGGACATCTTGGGACCGAATCATGAAGTTTCGTGGCGAACCCCGCCCACTTCGGCGTGCGCACGGCGGCGGGGACCCCATCCAGTTTTTCTTCCCGGCTTTTCAAGTGTTCTTGGAGCGGAGTTATGAGTCTAGTGACAAACTCCGCACACGCCACCCCCACCATCCAAAATTGACCCTCCTTCTCTAACCTCTTTCCACTTTTTTCCGATTCCGGGGACTTTTCTGAACCGAATTATGAGGATTGGGTGTTTTCAGCATACCTAAACGAGGGAGAAGCCCGCTGTGGGCGGGCTTCTCCCTCGTTCAGGTATGCTGAAAACACCTTAGATATTACTCTTAGGAACTTCTTTTCCTGCTCCGTTGGCTTTCCTTCTGGCCGACTAAGGAATTTTTATCAAGCACCGCCTACTTAAAGAACGCTCCGCCCACCGCGAACAGGTCTTTCTAGCTAGACTTATCAACTTGTGCATCCATTCACCCGTTTTTTCTCAGTCTTGGGGCTCTTCTATAAGCAAACTCAAAACTTTTGCCGTCGGTACCGCCCAAGTCGGTACGCGCCCCGCCCTTTGTGTGCGGAGCTCTGCCCAGTTGATGTGATTTGCGCTTCTTGGCCCATGTCCCATTCAGTCCAAACCTTACCCGGACTCTGTAGCTGGTTCTTCAGACAGTACGAAATTTCACGACACATGGACAAACAGACACATATAATACATACACGTTCACATACACATACCCACACCCATACATACAGACTTAGCGCATTATATATAGTAGGGAGTGAAACGAATAAGAAGACTTACGCTGGGGTCTCCATGTGGAAAACGATCACTTCGAATGATTCCTGTGGCAGGCGAGGCACATTCGAAGACGGGTGCGAACGAGAAGAGCTATGCGGTGGGGAAGATGACAATGAGTTATGAACTGAAATGTTTGATAGAATGATCGACAACGACTCATTGGTAGTCCAGAAAAAATAAACCAAGATAAAAATGTAGTGCGGACTGCTAGCGAACGCACAAAGATGAAAAGGGCGAAAATTCAGACGTTTGAGCATAATGACAAGCAAAATAAAGAGCTGGCATTCAAAAAAAGCCAACAGAGGAAGAATGGCGGGCCGAAGTGCCTACAGAAAGCTAGATGTTGTCATAAGCTCTTGTAACCAGGGTCAAGCGAGGCGTCGAGGAAAATTGGAAATACGACCCCCCCCCCTCCCTCTGCCGAAGGCCGAAGTCCATGAAACAACCCTCTTCAAAAGCCGAACTATGAAAAGGTTGTTTAATTCTCCCCAAAACTGTTCATAAAAAAGCCCTGCTACCCCACCGTCCACAAAAAATTCGTTTAAGAAGTACAAAAGTGAAAAAGTCAAAGAATGATCATTATTGATGAGTCCTACCAAACGAGCAAACGAGAAACGGAGCAAAAAACGACAAACTAGTCACTAAAAATGGCATACTATGACAACATCTCTTCTTTATTTATTTCCTCCACAAGACTTACCAAATTCTAGTACTACACAGATTATGGTTCTCAATTTACACGTCCCCCTTTCGCTCAAAGGAAGCCTTGTAACCGCCTTCGCCAGCTGTGTGTTGACTGGACTTTGGCGTTGACCGTGGAGCAGCTTATTTACTATTGAAATTTGAACAAATATTCAAATGATTATAACTTTCTTCAAAGTTAACGAATTTTCAATCTGAAAGCAGATTTGGGAGTTTTGTGAAGAGCTTTTTCTAATCAGTACTGAAATTACAGGAAGTTATAAGAAATAACAAATTTAGATCAAATAACGAGGAAAATTCGAGACGAGCACGAGTTTTTACACTTTCCGGAGCAATAACTTGCTTCATTTCCGTCAAATTCAAAAAGTTGATACGTCATACAAAACTAGAAGATTTTCTCTATCAAACGGTTGCTAAAGCAGCTTATACGTCCAGTATTCAAAAAATGGCCACGTTGAGGATTTTTGCAAAATTAACGAGGAAAATTCGTGATGAGTGCGAGTTTTTACGCTTTCCAAAGCCATAACTCCGTTCAAACTCATCCAATCTGGAAAGTTAATACGTCATCATAAACTAGAAGATTTGCTCTTTCTAAGGCAACTAAAACTGCTAAATACGTTCACTATTTAAAAAATGGCCACGTTGAGGATTTTTGCCCGAGTACCGCCGAAAGGTACTTTTTCGCTACATTAGCACTATCCCAACGACTATAGCTCCTTGCAGGAGCGATTACATACTGAAGTAGGAGCAGATTCAAAATCCTCGTGCTTTTCTCTCTGCAAAAAGTGTAAAATTGTTTAGCGGGTCTCAACTTTAAAGGTTACATGCTTGTGAATTTGACGCTGAAGGCTGCGTTTCTTGTTGAATAGTGTACTCCTCTCTGTAATTTAACATGAACTCTTTCAGAACCCTCTTGATTCTTCCTGAATTAAGATTCGTTATCAAGATAGCCGTAGCTGAAGCGCGCGCAACCAACTGGGCCCACTCTGGGATGCGCCGTGTGCTTCACATCTCGTTGGATTTGAGGACCTACTTGAAAGATAAAATATCCCTAGAAAACGTGCGAATTTCGGATCCTTTGACTTGTGTGGTGATGAAACACTAAAGTCACTAAGAATTGCTAAGCGGACACCTCTAATCACGAAGATTTTGTGTGGACGGAATCAATTGTTATTGGAAATACTCTGGCCTGGTATCGATTCGATCCTTAATGTTTGTCCTCCGACGATGATCCTACTGTATCAATCGGGCCCGATCTCTCCCCAGCGGGCCAATACGACCCCCCCCCCTCTGTGACATGTCGAGGATTCCTCAACGCACGCTTGACCCTGCTTGTAACGCTGATCTCAAAGCTGTATTACACAACTGCTTGAGTTTCCCTGAATAGAACCGCAGAGGTTTCTAAGGGACAGAGCAGACTAAAGCTCCAAGCAATGAGAAGCAATATGAGACACATGCACAGGCCGGCCGTGGTTCGGTAGCCTAACGGTTACTTTGCTGGTCTCATGTCTGCAATGTCATAGTCAAGACCTTTGGTGGTCGCATTTACTGGATTTGTTCATTCAAAAATGCTTTATGAGCTTGAAAACACTTGGTATGGGTAGGAAACTAATCTGGCCGAAAACTGCTGTTTGCGAAGAAATGGAACACCAAACAATTTGGACCACTGATTTTGTTGAAAATCTATGACTAAAGCTTAGAATGCTAACAGAAAGTTTTGTCACAATTTGCCTGAACCTTAACTCACACTTAAGGAAATCGTTCCAAGTGAGAGTAAACCTAAATAGTTAATGGAAATGGGCGTGTTCCCATAGCGCACGTCCCAATCATCTTCGCTTTGAGCAAAGCGGAGCAAGGCAATGCGCGAAACGCTCTGTTTAGCGGATCAATCAGCAGCTGATAGCCCATTTCAGGCTAGATAGAGGCAGGGTAAACACTACCTCGATCTCGCCTGAAATGTACACGAATTCCAAATTTTTACGACCCCCTTCCTTTTCGGAGGGTATCGGTACGATCCCCCCCGTATTAACTATTATGTCTTTCACATAATTTAATGCTCATCACTGATGTGTGGGCAGTCACCAACATGGAGAAGTTGTGGACTAGAGAAGGGAATCGAGGCAACATGAAGTTTTATTCATTAAATAGAAGGAATTTCCAAATTTTTGCGTAAACCAATACATGATAATAATCACAAAGATTTCTACTTTCAGAAACCTACCAAGTTTTTTTCGATCTCTCAATTTTCCTTATTTTATAATCTGAAAAACTAAACCTTGTAGCAATTACGTTGCAATCCAAACCCCTCCATTCAGAAGGTTATATTTTTTCAGAAGCGGTCTCATGGAACCGGACACCAAAATTTTAAAAATTCAAATAGTTTTCTTCCTAAAAAGTATTTGAAATGTTGCGATGTTCAATATTTCAAAAAATCGTCCCGTTGTTCCGTTTTTTGTGCACACGCGAGTTTTCGACATTCAAACATTCATAACTTTCTTCATATCAACTTTTTGCAGATGTCTAAGGCTAATTAGAAACTAGAAGATTAGCGCTTTCAAACAAGCACCTGAACTTTTTCCAACGATCACTCTCTCAAAAAATAGTCCCGTTGTTCCGTTTTTGGGGGGTTTGTGGTCCGATTTTTGAGAAGGCGCGAGTTTTCGACATTCAAACTTAACTTTCTTCATAATCAACTTTTTGCAGATGTCTAAGGCTAATTAGAAACTAGAAGATTAGAGCTTTCGAATAAGTGCTAAAACTTTCTTGAAATAATCACTCGCTCAAAAAATAGTCCCGTTGTTCCGTTTTTTCCACCTTGATTTTTTTCAAGCCATTTTCCTGGACCGCGAC